AATCAGAAGCAAAAGCATACTTTCTCTGAACAAGTGTACACTTCTTATGATGGATCCGGTATAAGGGGTAGCCAAAATTTGGGAAATATGGTCCCCACAGTTTGGTTAAGAGATCGATCTAGACTTTGCTCTCCTTAATATTAGTTTTACTTTTCGCGTATTTCTCCTGATCTTGAAAAATTTTTAAGCGAATTGAAAAATATTTGTATGCAAATATAAAACTCATTTATCCAAAGATAATTCTATGCAAAAAAAAAAAAAAATTAGTAAATCATTTAAAAAGGTAAAAAGGTCGTCCTTTAAAGAAAATTATTCTGAGAGAAAATTATTTTTTTCCATGGCAACGAAAAGTTGAAATAAACTCTACAATAAGTTAGACAGAAATGAAAGGATAAAAGTAAATCATTTTCTTGTCAAAAAGTTATTCTACACTTTTTACTTCTACTTATTTACGTAGACAACATAATTTGAAGCTATATTTCAGTTTTATTGATGCTTCATAATTTATGTAAGAAAGCAATATGTTTCATCAACAAAAGTCAGGCGAGCAATGCTTTTTTCTTCTTCGTTTTCTAGCTTTTTTTTAAAATAAATTTTTCGATTTTCTGTAAAAATTTAAGAATTCAAACTGTTTTGTCTCTAGACACTGAAATTTATAATTGTGTAAATAGGGAAATTCTAGAAATAAATTATTTTACACGTATTTTCCTTGTAGAACCTAAATGTCGCATGTAAAATGAATGAAATATATATAAATCAAAGATTTTACCACATGTATATGTTGCATGTTTTTAGGGCATTATTTTAAAAAGAATACCAGTTTAAGTATAAAGTTCAACAAAAATACATATGTATTTAATGAGTGAGAGAATTTGAATCTCGCAGCAATTCACGGCGTAGGATTCCATGAAACCTCAATGTGTATATATTGTTAACAGACACATGAGAGCCGTGATGGTCAAGGGATAGAACGTTCGCCTTCCAATGAGGTGAACCGGGTTCAAATTCCAACGATGGCTGGTCGATACAAATTCCCCATCCGGCTCGCTCCGATCACAGTGCTGACGTAAAATATCCTCAGTGATAGATGGATCATGGCTGACATTCCCCTTGTCGCCAGGCTTACCGTGGGAGGTTTTAGTAGTTTTTCTTTCCATGTAAAGCGAATGCCGGTTAGTTCCATCAAAAAGTTCCTAACGAAGGCAAATTTCTCTCAATACTTGGAGTTTCCTTGTCATCTGGATTGAATTCAAAATTACAAGGCTACAGAGTTGACCGTTAGTAGTCATAAGCCTGAAAAATTGAGCAGGCTGTTCAACAGTGGACATAAAATATAACAAAGTTAACAAAGGCATGAAATTTAACTAACAAATGAAATTTCCTTTTCACATTGGCAACGAAGAACTGTAAACTGAAATATCAAGCAAGTGGGCAGTCGTAAAAATGAGCACTAAATTGTAAGTATTTATGCATTTCTGAATCTTTCTCACATCGGCAACAAAAAGTTTAAACAAATTGAGAAATATGTTTGGCAGAATTGAAAGTGTAAAAGTCAAGGTTCCTTTAAAGAAACTTTTCTTTATTTTTGTTCCAAAATTGCTTATTATTTTACTTAAGTTAAACTTTTAGGTAACTGAATCGAGAAATAGTTAGAGAATGGTTGGGAATTGTTAAAAAAGTTGTGTTTTATGTCTTTATGGATATCTGAAATTTGCCCTTCCTTTGAGGTGACTTTAAACCGCCATCTTGAATTTACCTGAAGAAAGACAAAAAAAAAGGGGGGGGGTGAAACTAGACTTTACCTAATAGGCAAGTGATGTATTTTTCCTTTGTATTTTTTTCTCTAAATCGAATGAAATATAACTAAAAAAAAGTTAAAAGGACTAATATTTCAAAAGTTATTAAAGTTTTTACTAAAAATGTGTAGTTTTGTACCTATACCTATCTATATACCTCTTTAACCGTTATGGTATTTCATGTTGATTCCAATATTTTATTTCTAAGAAAATATGATGGAAATTTCTGATGGTCGAACATAAAGAAACCAACAAAACAAGTTTCTAATCTTATGTTGGACCATCAAAAAATTGTCCGAATTCCTACCTTGGGATGATGGTTACTTATGCTGGTTACTATCAAAGATTATGTTGGTCCATCAACGAAAAACCATCAAAAATTTTGACTTGGGTATACAACAGCGAAGTGTAACACCCTATGTATACTTTTACGCTTAATTGATTAGATGAATCCTAATTCAAATAGACTAATAGTTTAGAAGCTTTATGCGTAATCCAGCTTTTGAGTATAAAAAGTAAAATTATTGCATTTACATATTATTGCACCTGGCATTCCGATTTAGACAAGTGAGAGAATTATTTCTCTTATCTATTTATTATATAAAAAGTTAAATTTTTAATACTTAAAACTTAAAAAATTGATTTAGGTCTAATATATCAAACCTTTCCCCAGCATTGAGGAAGGTCAATATAGAATTTACTCAGAGGAAGGGTCAAAATACAACCCCTTTGCTATCTTGGCAAGTGATGCATTGTTTCCAGCGTACTAAGAGCACAGAGATTAGTTACTATCTTGTATAGGTTTCCATTATAATCAAATTTATTTGAATTGAGTGAATACTTATCTAAGTCGGTATATCTAATAGTTAAGAAGTTATTTAAGTTTCATATAGAAAGAGCAAATTCTGACTTACATATACCGAATATACATATTTATGCATCTGACTTTACTATCCAGGCAAGTGAGGTATGTATTTAAGTAATAGAAGACACACGTTGAACTATTGAACTGAAATGTTCTTACTAATAGAGAAAAAAAAACATTGAAATTAATATTTCACTGTCCTGGTTAACAGTGTCAGACTCATAAGCATGTGTGAGTCAGAAGCAAGAGCAATAATGAACCCTCAGTGATCAAACTACAGTCAAACCCCGCTATAGTGAACACGGTTTACAGTGAACACCCGGATATAGTGAACGAAATGTTCGGTCCCGTGGCTTGCTATACATGGATAATGTTATTTTTTGTGGATATAGTGAACCAAAAAAGTGAAGAAATTGCATATAATGAACTTTCTTCTGTCTTCAACTAATTTTTTTTGTAATAATTTTGAAATTTCTACTTAAAAAAAAATACATATACCGATTTTCAAAACCATTTATAGTGGGGAATGCTCATTTTTTCCTGTTTGCTTCTTTTAGCTCACTTTCCCATCCCTAAACAAACAAAGCAGATGTTTCCAACCCAGGTTGGATCAATATGCATTTTCTGTCAGAGGGAATGAGCAATTATTCATTATTGGTCAAAGGGTTGGACACTAATATGTGTTGATAAGGCCCTCATTTCAACTTCTTTTTGCTCTCAGTTCAGTTTAAAAAATCATGCAAACAAGTGTCTCAAATTTAACTATGGCGAACAGTAAACGTAAAGCGTTCTCCATTGATGATAAAATGGGCATAATCAGAAAAATTAAAAATGGATGCAATCAAGCTGGTATTTGCAGGGAATATAAACTATCCGAATCTGCAGTTTGTAACATATGGAAAAAATAGGCAATTAATAATTTCTGCTCATGAAAAAAAATTTAGATGGCAGAAAAAAGTTGAGAAAAGCAGATCACAAGGATGTTGAAGAAGCATTACTGAAGTAGTTCACCAATCGAAGTATCTGGACAAATGTCGATGAATTTGCGAAGTGATTTTATGAGACTACTTTTGTGTGCTCGAATGGCAGGTTTGACAGGTTTAAAAAGCGGAACGACAGAAATTCAGGAAAAATTATCTGAGAGTAGGGAATTTTTTCGATATCTGATGTTGAGGATTGCTCATCAGCTAAAGATTACTAATTTTTTTTTTTGTACGCAGGACAAAGAGTAATGAGAAATAACACATTTTTTGCTACTACATAATATTTTTCAGTCATTTAGTTAAATAATGTGTAATAAAAGGGAGTAGTTTGGGAACCATTAGTTAAATTGCCTGCGTAACGGATATAGTGAACTCCCGGTTATACTGAACAGAAATTTCGGTCCCTTGAAGGTTTACTATAGCGGGGTTTGACTGTATAACTGAAATTATCCTTTGTCTTCTTTTGATTATTTATTGTTCCTTTCAAAATTAAAAACTGTTTACTGTACACTTTCAATTGTTAAGTGTTCACTGTTAATTGTTTATTGTTCCTCCTCCCACTTTGATGTGAGGTGGACTGTCGTAATTACATGGATTAATTTCTAAATGAAACCTTATATAGCACGTATTTTTCGGTTAATTATTTTTTCTGTATTTAACTTTATCTATTTAATGAGATCAATAATAACTACTACTGAGCTGCGAGCTTATGATTACAGAAACAAAAAAAAAACATATAAGACGTAAATATACTTTACGAATAAGTTCAATAATTGGTTAATGATGACAACAGTATTTAGTGTTAATTTTTTGTTAGTAAGTGAAAAAGAGTATTAGAACTTTAAACAAAACAAATGAAAATAAAAAGAAATAAACATACATGAGAAACGTATAACTCCGCGTTTTCTTTTGAGTTTTTTTTTATTGTGACATCCTAATGCAGATTGCGTAATTGTGTTTAGAAATAACTCCGGCCGGGATAGCCAGGTCGGTAGGGGGCCCATGTCCGAGAGTTCGTGGGTTCGAACCCCGCCGGCCGACTGTTGGCCTAAATTGCATAAAAATCTAAAAAAAGTCAACTATTAATCTTTATTTAATTTGAAAGTGTATTACTTTGAGAGTCAATGTCATTTTCGTCATAGTTTCAAGCTTAAGCAATGCTTTCATCTGATAACTTCTTTTACGATGTTGATTGAAACCGTGTTACAAAATGATATTAAAGACAGAATTGATTTATTAGTAGCCTGTTTCACTGCGCAACGTAACTTAATATATTAATTTACAGATCCAATAAACTTTTATCGGAAAATAAAAAAAGAATTCGATAGTAATCAATAATAAATCCTTAGAAGATATTTTTATAACCACTTATCAGATTTTTCCTATTACAGAAAATAAATACAGATCTTTTTAGTACTAACAGGTATAAATACAAATTTTTACATCGCATACCTCCTTTTTTGGTATTAAAATAGTTCCAACTTCAAGAGCAAGTAAGTAACCAAAGGATTTAGTATTAGCTTAATTTGAAGCGATAATTTTCTAAATTTCTTACCTATTTATCATTTTTATTGAAAAATACTTAACAAAATTGTCTGTGTTTGTAAAATTATTTTTATAACAGGTTCGAGAAATATATTTATTGAAATGTACGCTATTGTTCAGTAATCCCGAGAACTTCTCCCGCATAGAAGTATAAGATAGTCTGATGCCATCGAAACATGATTTATAATGGGAGATAATTTAAGAAATCACGCGAATCTCACAATCTAATATATGAAACTATTAATTTCATACCCCTATTCAATCCCATCTTCGTAATCACAGTTACCGCCAGCACGTGATTCTGGTGTATAGAGGAGTTCTCGTGATGGTCGGACTGTAGACATTAAAGTGTAATTTGGCACATGCAACTAAGAGTAAGAGAATTAAAATGACAAATTGTAAGTGCAATGTTTTTGAGCTTGCTGAGATGATTTTTATATCAGTTAAGTAATCTAGAAAATTGCATAATAAATATATATTTCTATTTAAAAATAGCAGCCCATTAATAGGCCTCTGAATGTTGCAATCCATCTTTTTTTTTCATTTCATATATAAAGGTATAAAAGTTTCCTGATATGAAAGTTTTATGAAAAAAATGCATTGAAATTAATTTAGTTCGCAGTTTGGGAAAAATGATTGTGAATCTTAACATAAAAAATATATTGTATTAGTTTTAAAACAAAATTTTTTTATGAGAGTGATTTAATAGCATAGAAATTTGTGAAGTTTTCAAGGCTTCTGTGTTTATTTCATTTCGAGTGTCATTTTGGTATGTCCCTGTGTTTATGCCAGTTAAAAATTTCGGATTATAATCTTATTTTTATTGGCTAAACATTGAAAATGGAGAACAGAACATTATGCTATATCCTTGAATATGATATAAATTCTTTCACTTGGAACAATACCTTTCTTTTAGTGATTTTATTTAGTTCCTCTAAAAATTTAGATCTTTTTATCCATTAGATAGATCACTCCTTTAGATATTTTTGGACTCACAATTTGATACTGTTTATTTTTGACATATTAGGACTTAAATTATGTTTTAATAAAAAAATTATCTTTAATAATAAGTTGAATTTTAATTACGAAAATATAAATATTCTTTTAAACCGTACGGGCATAATAGAAAGCAACAAACAAATCTGAATGTATAATTGTATTCTTAAAAGTGAGAAAATTTATTAATATTATAGTTAAAATTACTTTCATTATAATGATTATAGCATCAAGAGCATTATAATAAAAGATATTAGTGATAAAATTATTTATAAAGAGTGTTAGCTCTAAGTATTATTAACTGTACTTAATCAGGTTAAGACAATATTAAAATATGATTTCATAACGCTTCAGAGAGAATGCTTTTGAATAAAAACCGTCCAATTGATTGTATAGCAATGAAATTTTTTTAATAATATTTTATCCTACTTTTTGCATATATGCTCTGAGTAAATATAGTAAATGATTATTAACATGAGCAGCAAGAAGTATTTTTTCAGCACAAATCATATTCATAAGTACTGTTGTAATAATATGTCTTTCAATTATGATAGCTGAACCGTGTTTGATGCTGAACTTAAGACTACCTAATATGGTGGACTCAGTGTGTGTCAGGCATTATCCGGATAGTTACACATAAATGCTACAGCAAGTATTTTTACATTCAGATATTAGCAGAAATATTGTGCAGTGTTCAAAATGAAGAAGCGAACATCACTTTTGATCTAATGATATGAAATTCACATACTTGAACTTGTTTGCACTCGTTAATTTTAGGTTAATGAGTTACAGATAGAATAAACAGAACTCTACTGTACAAACAAATCTATCCACAAAGTTAAAAAATAAACAGAGTGGAATTTTCTTTCATAAGAATATTCATCATAAAGAATATTCTTTTTTAAAATAAAATTCACCCTTATCTTAATGCTTTAATCACATGTCATTTATTTTCTCTATTCAGTGCATATTGTCATATAAATATAACTTTATTTCCGCAAAAAATTACGAATTATTTTCCAAATGCAAATATATGCCAAATAAGTATTTGAAAAATCTGTTTGCTTGTTCCTCTTTTAATAATGTATTATTTTTTTCAGAAACCAATTTTTCAAAACCTACCATGTTTAGAACATTGCTACTCTGTGTTGTTTTAGCATTGTTTGTGCTTCACACTAAAGCCGATGGAACAAAAGAGGGTAAAATATGCAATTATTTAATTAAATTAGCCTCCATATAAACTTTTTTTTGCCGATTCTTAAAACTAAGCACCTACGTGTAATCCCCTATAAATTATTCAAAGCTACTGTAAAACTCGTAATATATGATTGCCCACTTAATTATTAAATAACATCATAGTTTTTTTTAACAGAAAAATACCTGCCATCTCTAGATAAATTTATCATAGCGACATTTTGAAGTGCGATGCTAGAATGTTACATGTGTCCGGTACTTATTCGTTTCAAGGGACGGTAAAAAATTGCTCAAACTATATTTGATGCTTAGGTAATTGTTGTAATAGGTACTACTTGTATTTACGCTATAGGCACTTAATATAGGTACGTAATACAAACTCACACTTAATCAGTTTTAGGAATTAACATTTGTTTAGTTTAATTATTAACTATAATAAATGAAAAATCGTGTTTTAAAAATAGAAAGAAAACGAAAAACTTTTTTTTCTTCTTCTATTGTTTCAGTTGTTTATGAGGTTATGCCACCTCAAATTATAAATATACATGTATATGCATACTGTATTTTTTTCTTCTATGAAAAACTGCTCTTACTGCAAATTAAAATTAAAGAATATAAGTTTAATTAAAAAAATTGCTGGAAAAACACACACACACACAAAATTGGAAGACAGGACAGATGGAAAAAAGAAACGAAAAAAAAATGGCTAATATAAACAAGAAAGAGAAGAAAATAAAAAGAAATATAAAATTTAAAAAAAATACGAAAATTGAAAAAAAGAAAATTGTTACCTTTTTTAATAACAGGACTATTAGTTTTTTTAATCAGTATCCTCAAGGATGACTATTTTTATGTCAAAGAAAAGGAGTAGGTTAAACCATTTTCATCACAAATAAAAATTAAATACAGTAATGAAATCAAGGAACTTCATGTTCAATGATTTTTTATGTGTGTCGTAGTATTTGATCATGTTTCGTAATGTTTTCATTCAAGGTTCCTGCCAAACAGAGGACAGAGGTAAAGTGGAACACGGTGCAAAATACACTAATGAAAATGAGTGTCAACAATACATTTGCCACCATGGGATTCTTACCACTCGAGGGTAAGAAATAAAATCATCTCCCATTTTTTATTCTTTTTCATAAAGTTCAATCACTCAGTCAATCAAAGTAGTTTCAATTATAACACAAGATATAACTAAATGAATTGAGATTTTATTGCATTTGTCATTATTTATACGAATGCTTTGCTGTTCAGAAAGATTGATAATATTTTATTAATCCCAGTTTACATGGAAATATGGTTTATAGGGAAAAGGAAGAAGTAATGGGTAATTTTGTTTTAAATATTCGTTAGACAATAAAAAAAGGAAAATGGCAGTGAACAAGTATTTTTCAACCTCCGTTAGACCATAGGGAAAACATGAATAACCAAAATTTCTTTGAAAGATCTATCAGCTTTCAGGTGATGGGACAAAGAGATGAATAATGAAGAAAAAAAATTTCAATTCTAGTAGGGAATAAAAATAGGTAACGGAATAATCTTTCTCTTTTTTCAATAGGGGGTAAAAAAGGAAGGATTAATAAATTTTTATTTCAAGATATTTTAAACTATCAGACAAAAATACGGAGTGCTGAACAAATGAACGTTTCAAATAGCGCATACCAAAACAAAATTAATAAAGCTCTTCTAAAATTGCTTTTTTATATATTATGTGCAAATAATTTTGTAAATAAGAGTTTTAATTTAGCGTCAGATTTAGTCCAGCAGTATATGACTTCTAATAGAGTTGATAAATAAGTACTCAATGAATAAAAGTGCTTAGATCAAATAAAAGTACGATCTGTGTCCGGAAAAAAAATACAGAAGTAAATAAGCAAAATTATTCTTGTGTTATAAAGATATTAGTTGAAAACAAAATTTAAGTAGAGGGAAATTAGGATTTTGTGATTACATTTTTGGTTTAGATCCCATAAGGATATAAAGGTTTCAGAGATCTCGCTAACTGAAACGCTCAGGCTTAAACCTCGTGTGAGAGAATTTCTCTTCGAATCACAGAAGCTAGAAAATAAAGATAGTTTTAAGGTTGCAGTAAGACAAAAGCTATGCAGAAACTATCTAATATCAGAATTAGTTCCTCAATTCTCAGGTGAGCTTTGGACTTCTTACTGGTTCTAGAAAGGTTCTACTGTTTCTGGAAAGAAGTGAAAAGTTAGGTGAAAATGAAACATTGATCTCTAAACAAGTGAGGCATTGTATCTTATGTGATATTTACGCTAAATAAATTAGTTCAAAATAAAAAAAATACAGAAAAAATAATAGTTTCGCTCCTATTTCTATGTATTCCTCTACTGTTGCTATATAAAAAAGCAAGTTATTAAATCATCTATGTTGATTTACGCTAAATTTGCTGAAACTAAATCCGAGTCAATGAGACCAATAGTTTAGAAGTTATAAGGACTCTGTTTATGAAAATTATAACTTTTGACTTTTACAATTTGATACTATAACTTCGAAACTATTAGTCCCATCAACTTATTAGCTCCATTTTTTAATTCGATTTAGTGAAAAAAATTTTTTTTTAAAGAAATAATGCCTTAGTTGTCTAGATCATGATATTAGTCATGTAAAGGATATAAGTTAAAAATTGCAATTTTTCATGTATAACTCTTATAATTTTTATAATTTTTAAATCATGAATTCGTTCGACTTGATTTTAATTTGATTTGATTTAGTTTGAAAAATTGTATGGAATCTGAATCTAATTTAGCCTATACAGCAATATCTGATTTTTTCTAGAGAGAAAGGCTTGTGTGGATGAGAAATTAGAAGGAACAGTTGGAATACTTTTGCTATTTATCAGTAAAAATTTCTCTGTGAATTTCGACTTTAAGGAAAATTTTTTTCACACCTTCTTATGCAGTTGCATATGGAGCAAATTTAAAAAACATGCTTCTAAAGCTGGAAGCTTTACTCGCTACTTGAAAATGTAAAACTTTTGAACCCTTTCTAATTCCTTTCATTTCTTTTTAAAGGAGATGATTTTATGCTTTAGATAAATAAGTTATAACACGTTTTAATATTCAATTTTAATATTTATTTTTTACAGTAATAATGGAATAAATATTCAATTTTTTTATTCATCTGCACTAAGTTATAAGTTTAATAAATAAAAAAATGCTAAATTTCATCAATTCTTCAATTCAATAAATTTTTTTCAATCAATTTTTTTTAAGAAAACATGTGCATTCCTTATAAGTGCTATATTTTCTATGCATACAAACTTTTCTAGTTTTCAAACCATAAGTTCCATCAACTTTGTTTTCGTTTCATTTGATTCAGCATAAATACATAAATACATATACTGTTTTTACATAAAGCCTCCATAACTCCTCAATTACTTGTCTTATAGACTATTTGGTCCCATTCGGATTAATAATGTATTAGTCTAAATTGAAAGTTTAAGTTTCCTCCCAATTGACATCCTCCGTTTGAGAAATTATTTCAACGTTTCCTTTATAACTTTAACTAATTCGAACATAACAAATAACGCTCACATCGCGGGGAAGGAAAGAAAAGTGCTAACTTCAGATGTTCACACAGGATCTAAACCACAACTTAAATCATTTTACATCATTCCTTTATTGTTTATGTGTTGCACAACATAGAAGCTGCCTTATAAAACCTTTACAATGAAATTACACCAATATATATGTTACTGTAAATGATTGAAATTGGTGCATGTTGACTTGCACCGGGGAATGTTAATAATCATATTGTCGCTTTGGTAAATGTACGAAATATATTCTGGGTCTAGTTAAGTGTCATTGCCCGGTATGTCCTACATCAATGTTTTTTAAGGTTCAGTGCTACTGCCCAGTATGTATTTAACCGGTACTCTGAAGACTGATGTTTCTCCTAATCTATCCTCAGCAGATATTAAAATATGGAATGAATATAACAATATAAAGGAGTAAATTAATATCAAATTGGATTTAACAAGCATTTCAAAAATTCGAAGAAGCGACTGTATGATTGTTGACATTCGCCGATGAAAGTTATTTTGAAATCTATAAAATATGTAATAAGATATTTCGAATAACATGACTCTATTATTTCTTGACCAAAAAAAAAAAAAAAAAAAAAAAAAAAAAAAAAAAAAAAAAAAAANCCTTTCTCAAAAAAAAAAGAAAAAAAAAACTAATTTGACGAAATGAAAAATTGACGAAAAAAAAATTTATTTGACGAAATGAATCTCGTCTCAAACAGATCAACATATTTTATACCAATTGACCATTGTTAATAGATTTTTTGTGAATTTTTATTTAGCTGTGGAATATCACAAGCCCCAGCTGACTGTGAATTTGTTGAAGGCAAAGGAGACTTTCCCAAATGCTGCCCAAAACTTCACTGCAAAAATGGACGCAAATTTTAACGAGAGTCCTACATAGCTGTCCCACTAGATCCCTTGTATATATATTGTAAAAGAGTATGTTAATAAATATTGTTGTTGTCTAGCAGGCTCAAAATAACTTGTAACTTATTTCAAAGTTTAAAATTTTTAGCTGGATATTTGGTCGAATTTATAAATTTCTTTCTATAATTTTTGTGCAAAATTATTTCTGTTACAACATTTAGCACTCTCATCAATTTTTAATTGAATAGATATAATTTTAACCTATCTTATTCAATAGCCTTGTTTTATAAATTGTTACAAACAAAAAAGACGATAAAATATTTAAATAAAAAATCAATTTAAATTAAAATAAGTAATGTTAATTTTTTATTAAAAAATAACTAAAATTGAAATTTTTTGATTTTTTTTAAGAAATTTAAAAAGTTAAATTTAAAGAAAGACGATAACTGATATTAAAACAGTATAAGAAATAATGAAATTTCAAAAAAGGCATTAAACTTATTAGAAAATCATCTTATTGAGATATTAACAAGTGTATTAAAATATAAATGTATTAAAACTGCAAATTTATTAAAATTCAAAATAAAATTAAAATTTAAAATTTAAAAAATTTATTTATATTGACTAAAAAAATAATTCAGTTTAAAAATATAGGCAAAAGTTAAAAAAAAATAAAAACAGTTCAAAAATTAACAGTTAAAATTTAAATCGAAAAAGACTGTTTTTATCAACACCATCAAACAGTAACTGTTATTACTTCTTAACACATCTTTTTTATTGATGATGCATGCATTTAAACAGGCAATTCAAAACACTTTTGTTCGCGTGCAGGTCATTGGGCTACCGAAGCGGGGGTGCCATCCCCTCTGCAGAGGATCAAAATTGTGATGGCATGTCTTCGGATCATTCTCAGGGATGTTTCCCAGACAGTCGCCAATAGCCCATTGTGCAGCTCTAGTGCAACGTAAATGAATTACAACAACAACAACAACAAAACACTTTTGCAGGTAATTTAGAAAACACAATATTAATCCATGCAGCTACCCTTCTCTTTTAAGCCCAAAAAAACATGTGTACTGACTTAGGCTTTGTGTTCTTTAATTATCATCTTTATAATATATTTTTAGAACTCTTGCCAAAAATGCAGTAAACGAGAATCTGCATATTTGGGGAGAGAAATTAATACTTATTAGATAAAAAAAAAAACTTTTATAATTTGTGAAACTGTTTAATTTAAACCGATTTAACCGCGTTTTTAACCAAGAACAAAAATTCTAAGAGCTTAATTCAAAATACGGGGGAACAAATTTTTAGAACAATGTCGTTTTTAAAGCAGTTATCAACTCGTTTTTAAACCATCAGATTTCAGAAATGACTAGACATAATTGACTCTAAACTCCCAATGTATACCAAAAAGTCCTTTTAGAAGTAAAGGAATCGATACTGGTTCCAGACTCATTAGTCAATTGTATGATTAGTGCGCATGTCATTACCTAATTAATGTTTAAACAATTTAAAAATATTCTTCAAGCATAGATGTGATGAAGATTTTATTTCATTTTACTTTGTAATTGTCGATAAAAAGTCGACCCAATTTTGGATTTACGACTACTAATGTTCAACTCCATAGCCATGCAATTTTTTACCCAATCTGGAAAACAAGGGAATTCCTGGATCAGGTATTGGGAGAAATTTGTCTTCATGGTGGGCTTTTTGAAGGAACTAGCCAGCATTTGCGTTACATGGAGAGGAAAACCATGAAACATTTAACGGTTAGCTTGATGACAAGGGGATTCTAACCCATCATCCGTCTACCACTAAAGATAAGTTACGTTAGCACTGTGGTCGGTGCGATCAGAGGGTGGAATTCGTATCGACCAGTCACAGCAAGGATTCGATTCCCGTTTACCTCATCGGAAGGGCAACCGCTCTATCCCTTGAACCACCACGGCACTGTGACGAAGATATTTTTTAATATATCCCAGAAGCAGAAAGTGCCTAAAACTGTGACGTACGTCGCAGAACAAACGAAGTCCTGCAGAACAATTTGTATCTTCTGTAACCATTTTTATCAAGAGAGCTTCTAAAGCAAAGCGTAAAAGAATTAAATTCAGAGATTTAAAATTTCATAAAGCTTACGACTTTTTATACTTTCTATTCCCCTTTCAGAAGCAATTTGTGAATCGTGGGGAACCACGATTGACAGAATTGTTTCTAAAAGAACAAATGCTTTCGACGGAGATGAAGAAGTTGATGGAACAACAGACCAGCGAATGTCTGTGTTTGCAAATGGTGCACCATCTGAGCACTTGTCCCTTCGAAAGATTTTTAAGACATCCCTTATTTCAATGTTCGGACCTTCATATCATAGGCATATAATTAATATACATCATCATTGTCACTAACAAAATTTTTTACTTCAAAAGTGATTTATATATATATATATATATANAGATACACTATCTACCAATAAGTATTTGGGCGCCTATGCAAAGGACTGTATCTGCGGTCCTGAGATACGTCACTCCCTCCGCCGGTATATAGTGTGTAGGGAACAACATCGGCGTTAGCCCCATGCAAGATGCCTATTTCACTATTTTGGATGACAATGTGCTTCGAACGATGTGGCAGTTTTACAGGGTGGACCCCTGTTACTTCCAGGACGACAATGCCAGCTGTCATGTTGCGAGAGTCACCAAGGCTTGGTATGGTGCCAATGGTGTTAATAGAATGTACTGGCCTACTCAGAGCCTAGACCTGAACCCTATCGAGAACCTCTGGAACGACTTGGATCGCCGAATTAAGGGGTGTACAACCCGTCCAAAATCGGTGAAAGAACTTACATGTCTTCTCCAAGCCGAGCGGAAGAAAATGCCACTAGTCGTCACGCAAGGACTTGTGGAATGTATACCCTGGATGGTTCACGCTGTAATTGCCTCTCGTGGAGGCTCTACCAACTATTGATTATGAATAAAGTTTGTTTTCCTTTTCAATCACACGTGTCCAAATACTTATTGGTAGATAGTGTATATAATGTGTCACTTTAGAGAATTGATCCTTGACGGGCTTGGCTTACTCGAAATACAATGAAAAGAACAGTTTCTAACGTAAGGAAATGCGACGTTTCTAATCAGGATCGAGATATTCACACTTCGTCATTATAAGATATGTTTTTCGGTTTTCTTGTTCATTTATTCTTGTTTGCTACTACACTGAATAAACAGTTATTTAACTTTAAGATATTATTTTCTTTATTTAATGATCGTATAACTGAATTATTTCAACAGATTAAGGACTCCAGCATGCAAAACAAGGTATTAAAAGAAGTAGATTCTATTTATTTGTTATTTGGGTTTGTGTGAGTTGTAAGCTGGGATTTATATTGTTGGTTGCTATATCACTATAGCTACCAAAAATATGGGTAAAAAAGTTAATTAATTAATAAAAAGTGCTATTTTTTCCCTTTTTATAAAATGAAGCCAGAATTTTTATTTAAATTAAGTAATATAGAGAACGACAGGGTATTGCACTTTCTGGTAGAGTTTTACAACTCAAGGATCTTTTTGTGGAAAGTTAAGATAATGAAATGGTTGAGTTTGGTGGTAGTTAAGGACAGTTTCAAGGCTAACTAAGCTCATATTCCGAAATCTAGAAATTTCAATTAGTTACTATAATGAATCAATGAAAACTCCAAGTGGAAACATTAAATGGTAAAAGTGATTAGGAAATTTGGCAGTAAAGAATTCAGTTTTCTTTCAACTATCATGCGGATGTTGTTGAAGGAAAGATGCACATGATAGATTAGCTTGAGCCAACAAAACTTCTAAAACTACCGGATGATGATGATCTCAGAAATTTTAATAAGGCAAATAATTGTGGTATGATGGCGTTAACCATTTCCATGAAAAAAGATACATTGAAGAAAGATAATAAATTTTGATAGTGCACGAAAAGTTTGGCTGAGCTTAACAAAATTTTTAAAGCTCTCTCAGACTACCAGACTTAGAATAACATTTATTTTCAATTCTTTAAATTTAGTCATGATGATATGTCAGCTCATTACTCCAAACTCAAAGATTAATAGAACGATATGAATAGTGGTGAACATGGAAACAGGCTACCAAAAATGTTGTTAATTTGCCAAAATTTTAGAGACTCTTCCTCTCAACTATCATACTCCTAAATCAAGTTGGCTGCCACAGTTGTGAACAAACGAAAAAAAGATTCAAGGTTCATTATATTTTCCTTTAATTTTTTTAAATTAATTTTTTTTAACTTCATTTATTTTTAGCTATTTTTTTTTTTTTTTTTTTTTTTTTTTTTTTTTTTTTTTTTTTGCTATTAGAGAATAAACAGTTGTTTAACTTTAAGGTGTTAGTTTCAGTATTTAATGCCTGCATAAATCAGTTATTTAATTATTTCTGCAAGAATCTCTGAAGAATGAATGGAATGAGTGGCGTAAAAAGAAATGAGGAATGAGGCTCTAGGAATGAGTGGCGTATAAAGGCGGCTATTAGGAACAATTCCAAGTTTCTTCTGGCAATGAAGCAGATTTTGATTTCAACTCTCACTAGCAACAAAGAATATAGAAAGGAGGAGAAGAAGTCAAGCTCTTGGAATACGTAAGTAATACGGGGAATTACTCTGTGTGGTATGCTATACCAGAAAAACAACTTACAGGGTGAGCAACACACTAAGATTTAACAGAGCATCATGTACTAAGATCCAGCGCATGCGCATAAGAAGCAAAGTGATTGCCAGAAGGTACGACAACTGTAAGACAGTTGTTGGGTAACTCCAAATGTAAGGATGAGTAACGCTACCTCTTGCACAGCCGTTTCATTCTTTCTTTCTATGTCAAAATGTGTTAGCAGATTTAATCAACATGGATGATATAAATGTATTCTCAAAGAGATGTCTTTATCAACAGCACAGTACCGCTTGTCAATAGTGTAAGAATTTTCGGAGCAAACCAACAATTAAAAAAGGAAAGAATCGTGATTGCTTTATTACGGGTCACTGGTTACCGATTATCGATTGTTCAAATGCTTTTTTTTTCTGGTTTGACACCAAATAACCCCCCCCCCCCCAGCAATTCAAATCATGGACTGCAAAAACTGTCTCAATTGATGTTTGTCGTCTTACTGGTATACAAATCCTGGCTATATACATGTTTCAAGACGTCGCAAAATATTTTTCTTTCTTCAGTATTTATATTTATATTAAAATCACCGTCAAGACTGTTATTATAAGTTAATAATCATAAGAATATTAAAAAATTATTGTTATGTAAATGCATTAAGAATGACTGCTGGGGAAAATAAAAAGGAAAAAAAGAATTCTAAAGATTATCAAATAGCAGTGGTCGCCATAGCAACGCATGCGATGACAACGCATGCGCACTGTTTACCATTACTCTTGAACACAGTTGAAGAGTGTGATGAAGTACAAGGTGCGCACGCCATCAAATCCAAAACAACACCCATTTTGCCAATGGGTAATAAAAAGAGAAAACTTTTCTTCCTCCACCCAACCCAACTAATTGGTTTTAGAAACATTAAGAGAACTTTTGAAATATTATCTTTTCACCTCGACTCTTTCTTCTTCTACCCAAAGGAGAGGAGTTTGTTAATCACTGGTGGTTGGAAGGAGAAGAGTTAACCCGTTTCAAAAACTACTGCTGTTGTGCACCTAAATGCCTTTTTTCCCTTTATACTCAGGGCCTGCACCAAATTTTGGTGGTTTATATTATGCCTTCCATCCTATATATATTATTTGCTACGGATTCTTTAAATTTCTGTAATGTTTTCCCTCTTTTCTATTTCAAAATAAATTTACTTTCATTGCTGTGTATACTTTATTTACTTCCTTCTTCTGACAAGGATTCCATAAATATGCTTGAAGGGTGGTCATTACGAAAAACCCAGTATTCCAAAAGTTTTCTTAAATGTTTCTTATTATGAATTCCGTATTGTTTTTAAATGTGAATCAAAACTATCTAAGATTAAATTATTTAGTTTAAATCTTCCTAAGAAACATATAAAATACAATTATGTAAAAAAAACATATTTTATTTTACATAGTTATTTTATCTCAAACTATTAACAACTGAAGGAAGATTGACTTAATAGAAACTTCAAAAGAATGTTGTTGCTATGTATTGTTTCAAAATAAATTCTCCTCTTATGGCTTATGACATCTGACATTGACATTTATTTAATAGTGTTCTTCGCTACTGACTTAATTTTAGCGCAATATCCCTTCACTATTTTATTACACACATGCGTGTGATCTGGAACTTTTCAAGACAAATCTAAAATTCGAAACGCAAAGGAAAAAAGTTTTAATTTTCCTATTTTAGAAAAAAGTGTAAAGGAAAACTATTCCCATACCAGACCGACAATAGCTTTACAGTTAATTTTATGACACTATTTATCAATTTCAGGATTTGAGCAACAACTTCCTGAACGAGAAATGTTTTGTTTGTTAACACATTTCATATAAAAATGTTATAAAACCATCTTTCATTAAACAAAACAAACTCAATCAATTTTTGATTGAGAGTATAAAAATCATATTTTGAGTTCAATATCATCATTCGCCCTTTGTTTGGCGTGGAAGTAAGTACCTCTTATGCATATTTCAGGCCATTTTCTTTTTCTTTTCAAATTTCCTTTTACATATAGTTTATTTTAATAACGAGTACACATTAATAACTGCTTTAAGAGACATCTTTCTTCCCAACTGAACTCCCCAGTCGAGGAGGGAAATATATTTCTGATATTCATCCTAAATATGCTTTTCAATCGTTTTCTAACTTAATTTTAACAACTAAACTTGAGATGATTATTTACAATATATAATAATATTCTTTGAAACATATAATTTGTTGCTGATAGAAAGTTGTTTCCTCTAAAGTTATTTTTCCCTTTTTGTTGGAAACTATACATTTTTCAAATCAAATATGTTTTTCTCATTCACGTCTGGCCAGTCTTGAGAATGAGTGCCTTTATTTAGGAGAACCAGATACATGTCAACTTTTTCTACCTGTATAAAGCTAATTATGTTTTTTTGATATCAAGTATAAGCAAACTACCATAAGTTCATAACAGCTTTTAAACCATAGAACAGTGTTTAGAATATTTCATTTTTTCCTGTCTTAACTATATTATTTTACAGGGACATTTAAATTGATTTAATAAATTTTAAATTTTGATAAATCTTTCAGGGGACCTGCTTTGCAAAAGTGACCATGCTTCGCACCTCATTCCTCTGGGTCATTTTAGGCTTGGCTCTGCTTAGCACGAATGCTGATGCAAAAAAAAATCGTAAATAATACATTTTACTATTTATTCACTTTCACTTTACTATTTATTTACTATTTATTCCACTTTATTATTTATACTTTATTATTTACACTGTCATTGTGATCCAGATTAAAATTCTTCATCACAAAGAAATATATTTTTCATTTTCAATAACTTTCTTTCGTGTTTGTAGCGACGAAATCTTGAAATTAAAATTTTGACCACATCCTGGCTAAAATAACTATTAGAAAATTGTACCTGCTGACAATGCAACTTTTTAAATCGTAACCAGATTCTTTCAAACAGACAATGGTATCATCCCAGAGACCTTATTGTCAACAAAAACTCTGACTCCTCTTTTAGAAAACAATAGTAATCAAAATTATATCTTTATGTTGGACAAAAATAAAAATTCCGATCACTTTCCATAAAAATGAAGTACTAGCACTATAATTCTTATTTTTTATTTTATAACCGTCGTTGAACAACCGACCCACTTTTTTGTGTTCGCGACTACTAGTGTTCAACTCAGTAGGCTTGTAATTTTGAACCCAATCCAGCTGGTGCAGGTTCCAGAAACTGCTGGTTCAAATATTAGGGGAAATTTTCTTTCGTGGATGTAACTCGCATGTGAGTTACATGGAGAGGAAAACCTCGAAAGACTCCCATGGTTAGCCTGATGGCAAAGAGAATCTAACCCATGATCCGTTGAACGCTGAGGATATCTTACGTCAGCACTGTGGTCGGGGCAAGCAGGATGCGGAATTCGTTAACAGCCTTCGTTGGAATTCGAAACCGGTCCTCATTGAAAGGCGAACGCTCAATCCCCTGAGACATTACGGCTCTATATATTTTTCAAATTGGCAACAAAGAAATCAAAATTGAATTATTAATTGAGAGAGCAATCCTAAGCATAAATGCTGTCATGGTTGAGTACGCCGTGATTTAAATCACGGCTTACTACTATTTGAGACAAATTGTAGTACGCCATACAGTACGGAAACATGCAGTGCGCAAAAAAATAATAAAATAATAGGTCAACCCTGAATAACTTTTGACTTAATAATTGGATCTTCATGTTCTGAGACTCAATCTGAGATATTTTTCGCCATCATTGTGGTCTGTGCAAGACGGATACAGAATTCGTATCGACCAGCCATAGATGAGATTCGAACCCGGTTCACCTCATTGGAAGGCAAACGCTCTATCCCCTGATCTACCACTTCTCTCGAATTTAATGGTTAAATTTAATTCTCCATTGAATTTAACCTTGAGTTCAGTGTTGCCTGACAAGGCAAATATAAAAAACGTTTTTGTCCGAAACAAACAGAATTTTCCTCCGCTCACATTTTATCGCCATTCATCAAAATTTTTATCCGTTTTTCCGACTAGCTACAGGGATTAAATCTTAATTGGAACTATGCACTCGATGACATTACGAGTGAAAATTGTTTCTTAAATCTTACAATCGAAATTTATTTTACTTCCGATTGCCAGCTTCCTTTTGAGCACTTTTCAACATGGAACAGACGATGAAGCTTAATTTTTGAATTCATCAAGCATATTCTGAAATAATCAAGAATGATTTCTAAATTCATCATGCATATACCAAATTCGTCATGCATATTCTGAATTCATCATGCATATTCTGAATTCCTCATGCTTATTCTGAATTCATCATGCATTTTTAATTTATCGTGCATATTCTAAATTCATCATGCATATTTAATGGGGCGGAAGAGCTCCTCTTAATAATACAGAATTTTATAGTAACCTATGGCAAGAAATGTCATCTCATGTCGCTTTGGTTGCCTGCTCATTATTAACTGACTGTTCATATACATTTGAAACAGCACATTTGTTTCGTAAATAAACTTTAATTTTATGTCTTAATTTTATATTAATTACATATTTTTAGAAGTTATTAACAAAATTGTATTTAAATAGACTCAGAAAATAGCTATTTCACTTCGATTTAATGCAGAAAATCTTGTCGAGCGTTGTTTGTCAAATCTTTATATTATGAAAGAAAAAAAAATTCTGGGTCTTTTTCAGTGCAATTTTTGGCGAAAATTATCAGGAACCTTAAAATTAAAATAGTTTTAATCGACAAATTTTCTTCCTTTTTTGAGCACAAACAACCATTTCATAAAGAAAGGATAACCCAAGATGATATTACAGTTGCTAGTAAATTATTAATTTTTGTGATATGCCATATCTCCTTACAAACTATTAATGGCGAATGCACCATAACCCTAAACAAAATTAACAGACGCTAGTTTAGAAAGAAAGAAAAATAATAAAATGAATTAATATTCGAAAAACATACTTTTTTATGTGGATTAAAGAAACAAAAATAAATCTGTTTTTTGTCATGCCTATAACGGAAAACGCTATGCTCATTATCTAAATTAATAGAATTTTTTTAACACTGAAAGTTCCTTCTAGGTCAGAGATGCATACTTTTCAGAGTGTGCAGTTAAATTATGGTTTATTTTTTTTAGGTGTCTAGTTTGCCACTTGTTATGCTTGTTAGAATTTTTAAACCACTGGTTTGAGTTCAAACAGTAGAATTATTCTTCGTAACTGTATTTGCAGGTTGCTTATTTGAATCAAGATGGTTTCTTACAATCCATAAAATAGAATTCAATGATGAATACACCTACTCTATACATTGCCCGAATATACTATTATGGACATTGTTTCTATAATTTCTGATTTAGTTTTGGTTCGATCTTCACAATTCTTCATACTCACGCACTTTTCAAGAAATAGACCAATCATCTCTGCTCTATAATACGGCTCAAAATCGGACTTCTTTTGAAGGCTGCTTTTAACAATTTATAATATTTGACAGTTGCTGAACAGCAGACACAAATTTGGGTTTACGTCTATCAATGTTGTAAATTTGTACCAAGCTTGTAATTCTGAACCAAATCCAGAAGACAAGAGAACTCCTGAATCAAGTATTGGGAGAAATTTTGCCATCGTGGAGGAATTTTTGATGGAACAACCCCGCTCATGTATTACATGGAGAGGAAAACAACGAAAATCCTCCACGGTTCGGTTAGTCTGACTGCAAAGGGGATCTAACTCATGATCCGTCTTCCACTTAGGCTATTTTACGTCAGAACTGTGATCGGTGCAAGCCGAATGCGGAATTCGCATAAACCAGCCATCGCTGAGATTGAGCCACCATGGCTCGACTGCTAATATTAAATTTTTTTTTTTTTGAAATATTGTCTTCATAGAATGTTATTGAATAAGAGTAATTCTATGTGTACTTTTTACGTGCCACTAAAACGCATGTCATATATCGGCTAGTGGCACACGCGCCATGGCTTTGGCATTACTTTTAGGCCATTCCAAAAAGGGTACACCATACTGGTTTTTGTGTTAGGTGATCCAAAAAACATAATAATTAATTCTTTGTTAGTTTTTATTTTTAATTTAGTTTCAATTGTTTATTTTATTGTATTGTATTCCGATCTCTTATTCAAAAGTAAATAAAATGTTCGTTTTCTTAAAAGTGCACTGTACACATCGAATTATTCTTATGGTATTTTTAGGCTCCTGCCAAACAGAGGACAGAGGTAAAGTAGAACATGGTACAACATACACTGATGAAAATGAGTGCCAGCAATACGAATGCCTCTATGGGATTCTTACCACTCGAGGGTAAGAATTAAAATCATCTCCAATTTTTCATTCTCTTTCATTTAGTACAATCAGTCAGTCAAAAAATTTCTGTTACGACACAATGTCTAACTAAATGAGAATTTAATTCTTTAGGGGTTAAACAAGGAAGAATGAATAAATTTTTATTTCAAGATATTTTAAATTATCAGAAAAAAATACGGAGTACTAAAAAAATGAACGTTTTAAATAGCGCATACTAAAACAAAATTAATAAAACTCTTCTAAAATTGCCTTTTTATATNTACGTACTTTTACTTGTACTTCGTTACTTTTTAAATTTAGTACTTTTACTTGTACTTTCGTTACTTTTTTAGGGAAAAAGTACAAGTATTTGTAACGAAAATATCGAATGAAATCGTTACTTTTTTCTAAAACTCGATAAGCTTTCTAAAAAAAAAAANAAAAAAAAAAAAAAAAAAAAAAAAATTAAAAAAAAATGTTTATGTTCTTATAATTTATAAAATTAATGTGCAATATATAGGCATTCACAGCTAACTTCGTGCTTAAATACCTTCTGTTTCAACTTATACTGCACATTCAATTATTTTTTACTAACTCAAAGGTCACAAAGCTATCTGAAACCCCGTGTTTGCTTTGTTTATGTTTGTGCTTTTAAAACGCTCTTCTAAAGAGTAAAACAATTTTAAATCAATGGTAATTTAAATAAATAAAAATAATAAACTAAAATTAAAATCAACAGATAAAATTTCTTTTTCGTGCAAATCAGTAAAAAGTTTGATATTAAAATTATATTTGATTTTAAAATTATATTATACGATTATATTATAAAATTACATTATAATATTCTTCCGAATTTAAAAATAAATTAAATTAGTAATAAATTAAATTAAATATCCATAACTTTCAAAATTAAAAATAATTAAATAAATAACAATTTTACAAAAACATTAAAGAGCATAAGAATATTATTCAATAAATTTTTAGGTTACTTTGAATTTTCGATTTCCTAGAAATGTACTTTTAAATCGTTACTTTTTTTGTTTAGTACTTGTACTTTTTACTCATTACTTTTTAAAATAAGAACTTTTTACTTTTTACTCGTTACTTTTTTTAAAAATACCTGTACTTTTACTCGTTACTTTTTAAAAGTAACGTTGCCATATATGGTTACGACACAATGTCTAACTAAATGAGAATTTAATTCTTTAGGGGGTAAACAAGGAAGAATGAATAAATTTTTATTTCAAGATATTTTGAATTATCAGAAAAAAATACGGAGTACCTACTGAAAAAATGAACGTTTTAAATAGCGCATACTAAAGCAAAATTAATTAAACTCTTCTAAAATTGCCTTTTTATATAAATTTAATATTAATTGTCTTTTTATATATTTTAATAAAATTGTCTTTGTCTAATAAGATTTCGGGGGTAGGAATTGACTCGGAATTAACTTTTCACTCGGGGGAAGGAATTAAAAATATGATATTTTCTTATGTCTTTTGACAATTCAATTACAGACTTTTTTCTAATAAACGTGTAGCACACTATTACTAAACTGGTCTGAAACTGGTACTATTCATTAAAAAGTTTAAAAATTTAGAATATACTATTTTTAATTATATTCAAGTTTTAGTTTGTTGCATTTTCAAGTATTAAAATGATTTTCATTTCTCATTAGCACACTTGTTTTGGTTGGTAATTATTTAAATTGACTAAAACTTGACTAATTTGACTACTTATTAAGGCAAATGATTAAGCATAATTAATCTGACAGAAGAAAGGATGAAATTATCAGNTTATATTTTTTAAAAATAAACCTTGTTTTTCTTAAAAAATTTCAAAGTGTGTAACAGAATTTTAAACTAATCAATTCATTAAAAAGTATTTTGATAAACTATAACTAGCTGGATTGCTGAAAACATGAAGCTATATAAATCTATTTATTATTTATTGTTGAATCTCTATTAATTTGAGTTAATTAATCATCAAATGTGTAAACATAATTTCAAAAGAGGAAAACACTCATTTTTTTGTTACTGTTTGCTTTTATTTATATTTAAATATTTGACTTGATTAATACCAATTAATGTCATACACTAATTAACATTGTAAAAATGTGACAATAAACGTACAAACAACCATGCTCCATAGCAGAAAATAAACATAAAGAAACTGCAAAGTATTTTAAAAATCATTGTTTCAGGAACTATTTGCAAAGTTTTCAAAATATCAGATCATGTCTTCTTGTTTATTTTTACATTCTTCATTTTTAGAATAGCCAGTGATTGATATCTGTAAATTTCACCATAACCATTTATCGAAGAAAATAGTCTTTTGTAAATCAAAATATTAAATGAATCGAATATGATTATCGGAATTTTAAAATTTATACAAAGGATTTCAAAAATTATATTTTCTTTTCTTAAAAAAAATTTTTAATCCTTAAAAAAATTTCGTAAAATAATTTTTAAAAAAAAAACATTTATTTCAAACTCTTTAACAAAAAAATAGGTTTTTTCCGAATCACTCAAGAAATTTTAAAAATAGAGTTCGAATTTGCAAAACTTTAAAGATTATACTAGTCGATTTGATTGACTCATCAAATAGTTTAGTTTTAGTTGTTTTTAGATTCATGATAGTCATAAGTAGTAATTGATACAAACTATTAATCATTGATAACAATAAAATATTAAACCTTATACCAGTGCCTTATATTTTTTTAATTTTGTTTTCAGTTGTGGAATATCGCAGGCCCCAGCTGGTTGTGAGTTTAAAGAGGCCAAAGGTCCATTCCCCAAATGCTGTCCGAAACTTCACTGCAAAAACGGCTTCAAATTTCAATAAAAACATTGTTCCAAATATCACGCAATTGTAAATTTTGTAAAAAAAAAAGTATTTTTATTCAAAAAGGGTTCTGTAATAAATTTTATTTCTACATGAAGAGCTCAAAGATTGCTAGAGTTTAGCTTTTGTAATCAAATCTTTTCGTTCAAGAATTTATTCAAAGTATCAACCTATATCTTAGAAATTGTTTGTGAAGAAATTGATTTTTGAGAAATAGAAATTTGTGACTCTGATTTGCTAAATGAAAAACGTAAACAAAAATGCTAAAAGGCAAATTTTCAATAAAAAAATATCTAGTGCTTAATAATGATTGTCAATTGGTTGCTTTTAATTTAATTACTCTTTACGATGCTAATTTTTTAAGTGTTTGTAAACATAAATTCATAAGAAATAAGAACATTTACGGTAGATCAAATATCGAAATCTTAAAATCGATTTATATATGTTAATTTTGAAATTTCAATTTTCTTAAAGAAGTTACTGTTACTTTACGAAATTGCGGTTGTTGGAATTTTTGTAAGTGATATGATGGATCATGTACTACATTGCAATACAGTTTAATTTAACCTATTTGTATGTATCTGTTTCACTAAAATTATTGCTAGCAGAAATTAATTAGTATTTTTAGTCACAGAAAGCGATAAAATTGCATCCCAGTAAATGATAATACGATCATTAAATTAAAAGTTATTAAGGTTTTCTGATTTTATACAAGTAACGCTGTACAACGTTTACTTCCAGGGCACAGACATACTTTGAATTTTATAGCATCATAATATCCAACGTCCAATATATTGGGACAAAAATTGATACAATTTTATCACTCAAAAAATAATATTTGCAGAACAGTTTTTTCTGTTTGTATGCTTTTAGAAAGCGATTGTCTTGTAAAAATACAATTATATTTACTCTGATTTGTCAAAATTTTGATGATAAAGAACTGCAGTAATGTGTAAAGATATAAATGTTTGTAAACATAAATTCATAAGAAATAAGAACATTTACGGTAGATCAGATATCGAAATCTCAAAATCTATTTATATATGTTAATTTTGAAATTTCAATTTTCTTAAAGAAGTTACTGTTGCTTTACGAAATTTCGGTTGTTAGAATTTTTGATAGTGATATGATGGATCATGTACTACATTGCAATACAGTTTAATTTAACCTATTTGTATGTATCTGTTTCACTAAAATTATTGCTAGCAGAAATTAATTAGTATTTTTTGTCACAGGAGGCGATAAAATTACATCCCAGTGCACTAAAAGTTATTAAGGTTTTCTAATTTTATACAAGTAAGCTGTGCAATATTTAATTCCAGGACGCAGACATACTTCAAATTTTATTGCATCATAATATCCAATGTCCAATATATTAGGACAAAAATTGCAATTTTATCACTCAAAAAATAATATTTACTTAGCATTTTTTTTCAGTTTGTATGCTTTTAAAAAGCGATTGTCCTTGTGAAAATACAATTGTATTCACTCTCATTTGTCAAAATTTTAATGATAAAGAAATATATTAAGAATGGTAAGAAATTTGAGTCAAGTAACCTGTTATAAAAGTTCATGGCATATAAATACCTCATTATTTGAGAATAGTAGAATTTGAGAATATTATAGACGATTGTAAAATGATAATATTAAGATTATTCTACAGAATTAAAAAATGCTGAAAATTAAAATGTAGCATTTTTTTGTAATAAGTTATAAATAAAAGTAGCTAATAAATTTTTATTCATTGTAATTCGTGAAATTTTTTTTCCTATAAGCTACTTATTTTTATGTAAAAATTGCTTTTTTAGCATCATTAAGAAATAAGGTCTCTCTGGAAGATACAATATAAAAAAATAATTTCTCAGAAAAAATGGTTAAATAACAATTTATCTATTTTTTATTTTGCCGTATTCAACCGCAACACTCAAATAACCATAAACAAATAAGGTATTAAAACTATTAATTGTGCGAAAATCGTTTATTCACTTGCTTCACCGAATACGGTTAAACAATCACAGTTTTATCCCTGGAAACTATGTCCTAAGCTAATGATAAGCTAACACACGTTCTTCGAAAGATGAAGGCTAAGTCAAGTGATAAGGATTGCTAACTCAGATTTTTACATTTCGTCATCGGATGCCTAACATAGTAGGGAATGCTTATAAATAATATTATAGTAATAAGTGCGTGGTGAATATCTTACCATTTAGAAACACCTTACTATTAATTGTGTGGTGAATACCAGCCTTACTACTAGGCACATACATTAACCGAGAGGGCAAATCCGTCAATTTAATGACCGGCTGAACGAAGTCACGAATCCAAGCAGTCTCATCACAATATTCTCTTAATTCCTTTAACACTTTTGAAGTTTCTATCCTCCGGCGTGACTTAATATAAATTATAGTAATAAGTATGCGGTATTACCTTACCATTTAATAACACTTTACCATTAGTTTGGGACGAATACCAACCTTGCTACTAGGCACATATTTTAACCGAGAGGGCAAATCTGTCAATCTCATGACCGGCTGAACGAAGTCACGAATCCAAGCAGTGTCATCACAATATTCTCTTAATTCCTTTAACACTTTTGAAGTTTCTATCCCCCAGCGTGACTTAATATAAATTATAGTAATAAGTATGTGGTGACTACCTTACCATTTAATAACACCTTACCATTAGTGTGTGATGAATATACAACCACACACTTTACCATTAGTTTGGGGTGAATACCAACCTTGCTACTAGGCACATATTTTAACCGAGATGGCAAATCTGTCAATCTAATGACCGACTGAACGAAGTCACGAATCCAAGCAGTGTCATCACAATATTCTCTTAATTCCTTTAACACTTTTGAAGTTTCTATCCTCCGGCGTCACTTAATATAAATTATAGTAATAAGTATGTGGTGACTACCTTACCATTTAATAACACCTTACCATTAGTGTGTGATGAATATACAACCACACACTTTACCATTAGTTTGGGGTGAATACCAACCTTGCTACTAGGCACATATTTTAACCGAGATGGCAAATCTGTCAATCTAATGACCGACTGAACGAAGTCACGAATCCAAGCAGTGTCATCACAATATTCTCTTAATTCCTTTAACACTTTTGAAGTTTCTATCCTCCGGCGTCACTTAATATAAATTATAGTAATAAGTATGTGGTGACTACCTTACCATTTAATAACACCTTACCATTAGTGTGTGATGAATATACAACCACACACTTTACCATTAGTTTGGGGTGAATACCAACCTTGCTACTAGGCACATATTTTAACCGAGATGGCAAATCTGTCAATCTAATGACCGACTGAACGAAGTCACGAATCCAAGCAGTGTCATCACAATATTCTCTTAATTCCTTTAACACTTTTGAAGTTTCTATCCTCCGGCGTCACTTAATATAAATTATAGTAATAAGTATGTGGTGACTACCTTACCATTTAATAACACCTTACCATTAGTGTGTGATGAATATACAACCACACACTTTACCATTAGTTTGGGGTGAATACCAACCTTGCTACTAGGCACATATTTTAACCGAGATGGCAAATCTGTCAATCTAATGACCGACTGAACGAAGTCACGAATCCAAGCAGTGTCATCACAATATTCTCTTAATTCCTTTAACACTTTTGAAGTTTCTATCCTCCGGCGTCACTTAATATAAATTATAGTAATAAGTATGTGGTGACTACCTTACCATTTAATAACACCTTACCATTAGTGTGTGATGAATATACAACCACACACTTTACCATTAGTTTGGGGTGAATACCAACCTTGCTACTAGGCACATATTTTAACCGAGATGGCAAATCTGTCAATCTAATGACCGACTGAACGAAGTCACGAATCCAAGCAGTGTCATCACAATATTCTCTTAATTCCTTTATTACTTTTGAAGTTTCTATCCTCCAGCGTGACTTAATATAAATTATAGTAATAAGTATGTGTTGACTACCTTACCATTTAATAACACCTTACTATTAGTGTGAGGTGAATATACAACCACACACCTTACCATTAGTTTGGGGTGAATACCAACCTTGCTACTAGGCATATATTTCAGCCGAGAAGGCAAATCTGTCAATCTCATGATCGGCTGAACGGGCTCACGAATCCCAGCTGTTACATACCAATATTCTCTTTATTCCTTTAACATTTGTGATGTTTCTTGCTTCCGGCGTGACTTTATATGAATTATAGTAATAAGTGTGTGAGGAATAGCCTGCCATTTAGTAACCTTACCATTAGTGAGTGGTGAATACATTACCACGCACCTTATCATTAGTGTGTGGTGAATGCCAACCTTGCTATTAGACACATACTTTAGTAGAGAGGGCAAATATATCAATATCATGACCGGCTGAATGGGGTCACGAATCCCAGCAGTGACATCACAATATTCTCTTTATTCCTTTAACACTCGTGATGTTTTTTTGTCTCCGACGTGACTTGATATGAATTATAGTAATAAGAGTGTGGGGAATAGCCTACCATTTAGTTACACCTTACAATTAGTGAGTGGTGAATACATTACCACATACCTTACCATTAGTGTGTGGCGAATGCCAACCTTGCAATTAGACACATACTTTAGTAGAGAGGACAAATATGTCAATATCATGACCGTCTGAACGGGGTCACGAATCCCAGTGGTGACATCACAACTCTCTTTATTCCTTTAACACTTTTTAAGTTTTTAGCCTCTGCCATGACTTAGGATTATTGGAAAACAAAGATCTCAAGCAGGCGTAAAAAACCACAGAGCTGCTTAATAGAAAAAAAGTCTAATACTCCCCATCTCTTACGATAGATGGCAAAACTTGATGAACTAATTAAGCCACATTCCACTGTTCACTTTACAAATCACTTTTTAACTTCAATGTCCAGTTAAATTTAATTGGTAACGGTCTTGAACCCATAACAGTTGTAACTGGTTTCAAAACCGTAAAGGTAAAAAAATGTTCCTAACCTTAAACTTTATGGTTAATTAGATGGACAGTCTGCTGCCGTTTATTTTATCCCTAATTTTAGAAGGAAAATTCTTACAATGAAAAATAATACAAGATATTTTATCATGTAATCGGGATTGATTTAGTCGTGATCAACTATCACTTAATCCTTTGTATTTATTCTTTCAAATGTTTCTGCTTAAATATAATGAAAGATAGTTCTATCAGCATGTGCTTAAAAATGCTGCTTTGTAAGATCGTGACATTAAGATATAATACGATTGTTATGATAAAGGCTATTGAAGTTTCCAAAAGACCTGATTAGAAAAAAACATCATGAATTCTGATCATAAAATTTTCATAAACAAATAAGGAAGTAACCATTATTTCAAGCAGCAAATACTATATTTATCTTAGATTCTTGTATCTTTTTTCATAAGAAAGATTTCGTTGCAAGTTAAGTTGTACAAAAAAAAATGTTAAAATTTGTGACTCAAATGCGATTTCATCAATTAATCACCGAAATTACAATAAATCCTTGGTGATTGCTTTTCGGATAGAAATCACTGTTTTTAAAAGAGATAACTGGGCAAAATATATTTATATTTTTTCTTCAAAAACTATATTATATTTTTATGACTTTTTTTAAGTTTGGTTCCAAAAGCCTACATGCGATGTAATACATATTGCTGAAAAGTAATTGCTGTATTGATATAAATATTCGACCGCACTTTTTGCGTAACGAAATAGTGATTGAAATTCGAGTTTCAAGTTTTTTTTTTATTAAAAACTATTTTTCAATAAACCATTGAAAATATATTTAGAAAAAACATATTTAAAACTGATGGAAGTCAAATAAATATTTTTGATGAGTCTAAAAGGAGAAAAAATAGGAGAAATAGGGTAAACTAACCAGTGAAGGATCACTTAAGCTTCGCTTGCCTTTTAAAAAATCATATTAATTTCAAAATTCGTAATTTCAGTTAAATGACAGTGTCAACATATTTGTTACTAATTGCGAACTATGCAAAAAAATTGTAGAGAACTTACATAATATTGTTTTAAAGTTTTGGAGGTTCAAATAACAAGTTAGTAAGAAGACCCAGTGAAGGAACAGCTCTTACCAGTGAAGGAACACAAAATTGCCCAGTAAAGGAACACTTAATTTTAGTTATTTTTTAATGCTCTTTA